GATAACAAAGCCGATAAAAATATCTCTTCCCCTCTCTTCATCTTTATTTTTATCGGTATTTTCATCCTCCTCTTTGTCTTTACATTTATGTTTATCATTTTCTTCATCTACATATTCCCCTTCACCTTTGCCCTTATATTTGTATATAAGCAAAGTGTCTTCATTCTTGCCTTTATCTTTACGCATCTTTGCTTATTTTTTTTATTTTTACCTTTGCCTTTATCCTTTTCTTTATCTATGTACGTACTCGCCTTTACTTCCATTCTTGTCTTTTTCTAAGTGTTATTCTTTAACCTTTTATTAGCAAATTTTTGTTAAATTAATACCATGTGCATACACTCAAGAAACACTTGTTTCAGCCGCAAACATTTCCGTTGCATCACTTCCATTGCACCACTTCCATGTGCAACTTCCGGTGAATTTGCCAATTTACTCCCAACCAACCAACCGCCGCTAAAGAAGTTTCACTTCAAAAATATTTTTTTAATTAATTTGAGAAAAATCCTACAGATTAATTTATTCGAAAAGAATCCCAAATTATTTTTCCATTGCATAATACTTTAGCAAATATAAATATACGGATTTTTGAAATATTAAAAAGTTAAGGCACAGATATATTTAAAGATAAATTTATGATGTACCTTTTTAAAAATTTATTGATAAATTTTTTTATTTCGTATTAGAATTGAGATGAAATTTTAGAGTTACGTGGAAATTTTAAACATATGTTCTGTCTAAAAATGTGGTAGATTTTAAGCCTTGTGTGGTAGATGTGGTAGACACCCAAATTTTAAAAAATATATGGTGGAAGTTTGCTCCTAACTATGATTAAGCTGCGCGTTTTATTTCATTAATAATAATAATACTAGATTAGCGCTTCCACAATATGTTAGTGCTTCGTCGAGCTTTTCCGATTTGTGGCGTGCGCCGTTATTACAAACGGTGATTGTATTTTTATGAGAAGCTGTTTTTCATGGCAGAAATACCTCGGCGGCTTGCCGTTGTCTCCCCAGGGCGACCGCTGTTAGAAAAAACTTTTTGATGTTGGTCGGAAACTGGGATAGAACCCAGGCCCTGGGGAATCGTAGCGCGCACTGCTAATTACTGCATCACAGCGGCAGCAGAAAAACACTCCAGATAATTTGGTACGGTTTTATTACGCACATACTCCGCAGAGCACCGCTTTAGAGTTATGTTCCTGAGGCATTGACTAAACGACTCTCAAGTTTCAAGGGTTTTGAGTTTGAAAAGTCAAAACCTTTCATTAAAGGTTTTTAAGTTTGAAAAAGTCATAGCATTTCAAACAACATGTTACAAATATACTATTATGAATGCTAAAAAATGTGTAAGTGAACCATTGGATCTGAGTTTGTGATTCATTTTTAGAAACGTTCTTACCGCATATAACCAGACAAACAAACAAAAAAACATTTTTTTTTTCGCTTATATTTCTGATATTTTTATATTTTAACAGGAAACAGTGGACCCGAACTCTACTACATTCTCAGGACCCAACAGTTTGTCAAAAGATGCACAATTAGTCGAATTGGCCAAAATATACAAGACACAACCATGTCTATGGAATGAAAAGGAGATGGCATATAGATTCGCTAACAGGCGTCGAGAAGCCTTGGAGAATATGCTTCAAGAATTGAACAACAAGTTTAAATTAAAATTAAGTAAACGTGATTTGGAGAAGGAAATTTCTCGACTGCGCAAAATATGTACATACGAAAAGAATCAAAAAATAGTATGTCAAAAAAGCAAACGTAGTTATAAACCGAAATTCCCATATTACGAGCACTTAGCATTTGCTGAGATCGATGTTCGTCCTTTTGAATGCTCGGTTTGTGGAAATTTACTTGCCAGCCTAAGCCAGTATACCATACATAAAGCATCCCATGATGGGTCGCTACCATTTAAATGTATTGTTTGTGGAAGAGGATTTCAGCTGGCAACTAATTTAACGGTACATTTACGAAGACACGCTCAAGACTACTACTACAGCTGTGAAGTGTGCAGCAAGTCTTTTGCAACCACAACTGAGTTAAAAACCCACATGCTTCAACACACAGGCGAAAAGCCGCACGTTTGCGATATTTGCGGCAAGAGATACCAAATGCGACG